GCTACGGCACATTTTTAGGGTGTTGATGTTTACACAGGCAACAAGATTGTGCTGTGTAAAGTTTTATGGAAGGTGTTGTCATGTTGATAGATTACCTCCACTAATTTGTACAGGAAGGAGTATACAAGAGCAGCGTTGGTATTCCTCTTTGTTATTGCAACCACTGAGTAAAATCTGTTAAGTAGTAAATACGCTACACATTTGCAGAGCTGTTACTGTACAACAATAGGACAAATATTCACAAATAAAATATTTTAATATAGACAAATAAAGGTTATACTTTTACATTTAAATATAAGAAGATAGAGGATACAGTAGAGGTTGCTATGCTTTATCCAGAGGTAGTGGGTAGAGCCGTGAATAACCACTGGTGACAAATCTGCATCTTCCTCTCTCTTCATCATTATGGGCATAAAGTTGTCGATCTCACTCATGTCCACATTACCCATGTAGTTTCGACATATGAGCACCTTAGAGATGGAAACAAAGTTGAAAGCACAAGGATGTCATAAAACAGAGTATCCCAATTCTGCTCCTTAAAGACAGTCATCACGGCATCACTAGTTTATCTGAGTGCAATCCATATAAAGACATGTTCTTTTTGGCTATATTAATACAACAAACAAAAGCTCATTTAAAAACTCTGGAAAACCTTGAGGTTCTCTCAGCAAACAGAAAGAATATTTAATTTTTCTTAAAGAAGTTTTGGCACCAGCCATCATGCAAAATGGATTCCTTACGGCCTCAAAAGCAGTAAACACTTGTAATGATTTCTCAGGCCAAAAGGACACTTACAGCACAAGGTTTGTTTGCATTGACTCAAATCAGCCTGAGAATATGTTAACAGCTCAATCAATATGATCTATGAAACAATATCTACACTAATACTTCTACTGATCAGTCCAACATACAATCAAATGCTTCAAGTCCTGGTCACTTTTTTCACTGACAGATTCATTCAAGGTGTATAGTAAGGTAAAACTTAAAGATCAGTGAAGTCTTCGAAGTCTGGCTGGTGTTGAGGTATTCCTTCAGAAGGAGATATTGGATTGCTCTAGGGCACAGACAAGACCGCTTTCATCAGCACTGCCAAAATCCAGGGGTATATTGAAGGGTAATCCATTCCACTGAGACCCTGAGGCTCTGTTTTCATGGAAACACTCCCATCCACCCACTACTACTTTCAACATATTACAAATGAGTTCAGAGATTTTCTTTATATATACACATCTTTTGATATATAATTTTTTTTTTTTATTGTTTTTGAAAGTCTAACCAAGGCTGCATTTATTTAATCAAAAATAAAATAACAGTAATATTGTGAAATATTATTACAATTTAGAATGACTGTTTTTCATTTTAATATATTTTAACATGTAAATTACTCCTGTGATGGCAGAGTTGAATTTTCAGCAGCCATTAATTTTCAGCAGCCATTACTTCTGGTCTTCAGTGTCACATGATCCTTCAGAATTTATTCCGGTATTATTTGGCACTCAAGAAATATTTCTTCTTATTATATTTAATTAATTATTATTTTTGGTGCTTAATATTTTTGTGGAAACTGTGATACACTATCATTCAAATGTTTGGGGTAAGGTTTAAAAAAAGAAAAAGAATTAAGCAGCCCATTGTTTCAACATTGACAATAATAAGAAATGAATAATGAATGAAATCTGAATGATTTCTGAAGGATCATGTGACACTGAAGAAACTCAGCTTTGCCATCACAGGAATAAATTACACTTTAAAATATATTAAAATATAGAACAGCAATTTTAAACTATAATAATATTTCATAATATCACTATTTTACTGTATTTTTATCAAATAAATGTAGCCTTGGTGAGCATAAGAGACTTCTTTCAAAAACATGAAAACATTTTTTTTTTCATTTACCATGTCCACAAAATATCATTTTTCTTAACAAGAATAACTTTTAAATATATATTGTGTTATTGCACCACCACTTAAATATAGAAACATACAATATGTGAAACATCAACATTAATATTGCAATTGCCTTCAGTGAAAGTGCTATTAACTTTAAGAGTGTGATGGGAGGGTGTATCTGTATTGTGTCACATTTACATCATTAGTTGTTTTAGAAACCTTCAAGTGAGTAAATACGTACAATATCCTACGGCAAATTATTTTAAACCTCGATTATCTGTAGCTATATAGGTTTCAAATAAAGTGTCACTGTCAATCCTGAGTATAAACTATACGACCTTTCTCTGACAGGTGCACGCGCTCTTACCTTGCCTTTAAGGTCCAGGATGAAGATCGCGGACGCTGCCATCCTTATCAAAGCTGTTGTGTGACCAGAAGTGACTGACAGGAGTCCAAGTTTTGTGAATTTTAGTAAAGTTTGATCAAGTGAAATGAAGAGAGATCTTTCCCATCCCTTTACACGCGCGTCTTCCGGGTTTGGAGGCGTCTAACCGGTTGTGCAGCTCGAGCTTGTTGCTGTGCTGTAAACTGCGAGAGACGCGACGCGTCAAAACTACAACGCTGCCATTATAATTGGCCAAGCGATCTGCGCTGTTTCGTCGCGTCGCTCTGTTGCAATGTAAAAGCAGTGTGACTTAACTTCAACTACTTTCAGGTGTCAATCCTTTATTAAATAGTAGATACAAAAAAAAAAAAACTACTAACACGGCATTCGTTTAGGATGATGTGAATGCCATGTAATGTTTAATTTGTGTTATATTATATAAAATTTATAAACAATAACATAAATATATAATAATATCAATAATAACATTTTAATATTTAATTCTAGGCTAAGTAATAAAGTACACAAAGGCGGCGCCCAGTGGCCAATGAAAGAATAACGTTTTCTCCAAAAAAAAATAAAAATAAATAGAAATGAAGTGCAACATACAAAAGACAAAATATATATGGTAGCCTACAGAATGCAATTAAAGGTAAATGTAAATGCACATTCTGGAAGGAAAAATCCTTAAAAGTTAATGATTATTAATATTATCATTTAAACTAAAGTTTTAAAATAACTTTCATTAATAACGTTAACAAACATTGTATAAAATGCTAAACAGATTATTTCATGTGGCCTACTGTACATTCAAATGTCATTCAACTTTGATTCATATATTTTCAGATGCTTTCAAAAAAGTGGAAACTATTTGGACATCTATGCCAAAATATATACATTTTTCATTGACAATATTAGATAGTTTTGTTTGTTTTTTGGCTTAAGTGTTCAAATTCCTTAATAGGGCCACAGTATATTCTTTTTTTTTTTTTCAATTAATTAATCAAAGAATAGTTTGATAACTGATTATGGAGTATTGAATGTTTGTTAATGACTACTTAATGCAAGTTATTATAAATAAGATTTAACAACATTAGACTTAATAGTGCTAGCCAATACTAAATTCAATCTCTTCCTCCTCATCATCATCATCAGTCATCACCGCTGCTCTTGTGGCTCTTTCACTCTCACTCGCTTGAATATAGTTATCTTCAATAAACCCATCGTCATCCTCCTCAATGCCACTGGTAGGTGCAGCTGCACGAGTCCCAGGGCCACCCTGGGTCGAGAATCCCACCTCAAAGTTTGCAGGGTCACACTGACTCGTGGCATCTACTTCACTGAGCCTGGAGTGTCTGTAGCTCGCCAGATACTCGTGCACGACTTTGTATTTGGCCATCAAAGCGATAAGGACAGAGAGGGTGAGCGCTGACCCCAGAACAGCCACAAGGACCTTCCAGCTTTCTGAAGACGTTTTGGTATCATCATCTGGTTCTATGCCTAAAAAGGTTATTTAGAATGGTTAGCCAGTCTCAGATGTAATCACAGGTAATAATCTACACTAGATTACAGGGGAAAAAAGGTTTTGACCATTAATTGTATAGTTTGTAGGTTCCACTGTGAATAGTTTACGAAGGAAGACTCCATGGTTGACATCCTTAGAATATCCTGCCATGAGAAAAACAAATGACATTGAAATTATAGTATATGTCAATTTCCATATCTCAAAAAAGATGATGTTGTGGCACTCAAATAGCTTATTTTCCATATAAATATAATTAATGCAGAAAAAATTTATGTCACTAAGAAATGGCTGAAAGATCTGGTCCTCATCTAATTTGAGTCCAACATACATAAAAAATGCAATTTACTCATACAATGACTTGAATTATTATACACAGGCTTTTTATTTCTGTATTAAAATGAGTTTAATTATTATTATTTTGGAGGGGGCTTAAAGTCAAACATTTCAAGCTTGTTTTTTATGAAAAGTGAAAGTCAAGCTTGTTTTTATGAAAAATGAAAAAGTGGTTTGTAGGCTATTATTTCTTCAAAACATAAATAAATAAATGAAAACTGATACGCTGCTTAATAATATACAGTATGACAAACTTTTGTTGAGTTATGTAAAGAAAAAAAACAGAAAATTATATGTGACCATGTCACTTCTGAATGAAAAGTTCATAATAATAACACTAATGATAATATACAGTATGACAAACTTTTGTTGAGTTATGTAAAGAAAAAAAACAAAATTATATGTGACCATGTCACTTCTGAATGAAAAGTTCATAATAATAACACTAATTCAGTATTTAAAAATGTTTTTAAAACAATGATTAAGATGTGTACACTTGCATTTAAGGTGTAAGGAAATTATTTTATTACTTTTTATTTGATGGCTACGCCACATGACATTTTTAATGGCATTGAAATAAAACTTGTCTTTAAATTATCTAACAGTTTTTCAAATCCATATGAAACCAACATGAAGCCAAAGAGTACATTTCTAAAGAATGGAAACTAGTTTTGTAAAATATTTATCTTTTTCACCCCAACAGTATACGTCACTAATCCAAGTAATGAACTAAATCTAATACAGATTCGATAAAAGTATTCATACCATCACTGTGGTCATCGTGTGCCATGCGTTTTGCTGCTCTGGTCATCATTACTCTGTCTCCCACTTTCTGTCTGTTACTCTGTTCTCCTCTAAGTTCCACAAACTGACTCAATCTCAGGTCTTTAACTGCAATCGACTGAATGTCCCCCAGGAAGAGCATCTGTAAACTGGAAAGGCTGGTCAGAGCGTTTGCCTCCACTGCGGCCAGTTTACACCTACTTAGGTCAAGTACTTTAAGAGAAGAAAGACTGTAGAGGTGGTCTTTTAACAGTAGGGGGAGGTAGTTGCCTGATAGGTTCAGTGAGACTAAATGGCTGAAGAGGTTCAGGCGCTTGAAGCTGTCACTGTGGGTTAAGTCTAACAGATTTTCAGACAGGTCCAGTTCGGTTACGTTCATCCAGATGTGATTTGGTACCGATGTAAGTCTTTTCCCACTGCAGTCAAACGAAGCCTGAAAGAATAAAGAGGTATATGGTTATGAAACTTACATATGGAATCAGAAAAAAACATGCATTTACATATACTATAATTTTGCCCTGTTCATTTAAGATTTAAAAACATTTTAAAAAATGGCTTACCCACTTGTGGTTTTAAACATGAAACAAGAAATGTATTTTCTCACGATGTAAACCATTAACAGACTGGGTAAACCTCTGTCACCAAAAACAGGAAACAAATGCCTACAAACAGGATATTCCTGATGTAGCAGCACTTGCTCTGGCTCAGGGAACAAAAGAGGCCAGAGTGTGTTGTTTTTCCTCACCATCTCTCTGTTGACCGTACATTGGCCCACGGTCTGGAGTGTGTAGCATGATCCTGAGACCAAAAAACACAGGAGCACACACACTGTGTGTGTAGCAAACCCCATGTTTTCCTGCTTCCTGCAGAAATCACAATTAAAGATGATAAATAGCAAACACTGAAGTGGCCTTCAGCATTACAATAGCTTGAGTTCTGGTGCCATTTCATAACTATATAACGTCATATATCTTTGCTTTATTGGGTAGTCAAGGTTGGATATTGACACTGTTAGTACAATGGAAAGAAGGATAGAATAGGTCCCACACACTTTGTAGCTTGCAAATCTGTATATGCAACACTGTAAAAAGTATAAACTTACATTTATTAGTGAAACCTAATATAGTCAGGTTGATTCAATCATATTAAATTATATTTTGGACTTGATTAAAAACTGTTTGTGTTACCCCTTGAGTGAAGCTCTGTGAAAGTTAACATAAAAAATAATTAATTAAACATTGTTAAAATCTAAAATATTTGTAGGCTATGACAGTGTGGTTTTTTTTCATTATTATTCTTTCAATACTTCATATATCCTATAGGACCATGTGTCATATTATCAATTGCAAAAGATTTGAAAAAATCTCAAATTCAAGAGGTTCCTGTAAACAGTAACAGGAACTCTAACATGCTGACACATTCAGCCATCCACCACAAGACTCAGCATAACCCTACAGCAAACAACAACCTCGTGCACATAAAACACAAAGTAAACAATAAATAAAGTGTAGCACTACTTATGTAAGGAATAATTTACAGTCTGTGAGGCCAAATAATCCCTGAAAGGGCGATCAGGACCCCGACACAAAGCAGAGAGGATTTTGATCACACTAAAGGGGTTTATTTTAAACATAATTTCACTTTTTAGCAAATAAATAAATAAATGGACATGAAACACCGATGTGATGGGATGTGTGGGAAAAAAAGTGATACTAGGCATGAACCATCAGAAATATGACAACTAGCGTCAGCTATTTAGGAAATTCCCTGCATGAGACAATGGCCAGTTATACAGTTTAGTCATCATTCTGCAAACATTTAACCACAGAATGCTAAAATTGACCAATAAGAATCCAAGATTCCAGAGAGTCACATAACAAGTTGCAATAAGGGTAATAAAGTAAAAAAAAAAGTGCAGTACAAAACAATAAAGTCGATGTGTGCTGCTACAATGCATTTCAAAGAACTGTTCAAATGACCGAGGAAATAACCTAAAAAATTAACTTCTGGATTGTTAATGATTGCAAATATATTAGATAAAAAATTTATAATTCATCCAATAATACTAAATCTTTATTACATTATTGTTTCTCCTCTATGCCCCGCCTTTCTGAAACGCTTCGATTTTTACAAAGCTCATCAGACTAAAAATGAAATATTAACTGCCATCTTAAGTTTGTAAAGTAGAATAAAAAAAGTGTTGTAGTGAATAGGAATAAACAACCTGATCTCATGTAAAAGAATAACTAGGCCTATTTGAAGAGGTGGCAATTTGTGATTTGTAAGGAAACTTTTTTTTTAGCTAGCATGAAGGTTCACCCCTAAAACTGTCAGATTGCACAAAAACATGCAAATGATATTGTAAAATAGTTACGGATTGGCATGTGAATGTGTTGGAATAATACATGTGTGCATATGTATGAAACAGAGAGTGATTGTATGTTCCATCTTTAGTATTTCCTACTTATCTCCTTGTGGCTTCCACAGGGGCCACATTTGAGGGTCCAGTATTTTTTTATAGGGGCCCTTCCTCTCATTCCCTCCCTCTCCCACTATTCATTTCAGGCTGTAAACACTCCTCAGGAGCTGCTTTTATCTCTTCCTGTCTCAGGACGCCCCCGTAACAGCATACCTGCAGGATC